CAAACCCTATCTAATAGAGATGTTTTTCACAGCTGTGAAAAAACTGTTCTAGTTAGGAACATTGACTCTCTCTCTCTCTCTAGATATATATATATGCATTTGAAGAGTTCGAGGCTCTTCGAAAATCTTGTGTTTGATATTGATTTCCTGAAAAATTACAGACAAGAAATTTTTGACAACTCTTTTTGTGTACTCAAAAAGTGAGTACACTCTAGAATCGGTCAGTATGTCCGTCCGACCGTTAACACGATAACTTTTGAAAGGAGAGTCCGATCACGATAAAATTTTCTATACAGTTCAGTATTAACAATGTCTCGGTCGAGTTCGAAGATGGGTAGAATTGGCCGAACCATTCCTGAGTTATTGCAGAAATACTAATTTTTCCCTATGGCTTTCTATGCGAAAATCGACCCATCCCCGCTTTCGTAAAAACTTTTCCTATCATATTCAAACAAAACTCCAACTATTATATATCATTCGATAGAGAATTTTACGAGCTACCAAATAGTAAATAAAACATAAAGAAACAAGAAGGCTAGCTCACCTAATGCAAAGATAAAATAACGGAACTCGGTTCTGTTCTTGTCCACTCTCTAACTGATCCACAAATGAGAGCACTATCTTCCGATAAGAGGTGATGCTTGAAGATTTTCTGGGGTTGAGAACTCGAATCTGTACTCCACTTGTTTCGAAGCCCTATTGGTTGAGCACTGACCAATAGAAATCAAGTTGTAGAAAAAACGACCTTCTTAGGGTAAATTAAGGCGAAAAGTTCAAATCTGAGCTGTATTCGTCCTCAAATCCTATTGCTTGAGCAGTAGTCAATAGAATTCAAGTGTTTATAGAAAAGGTTTGCCAAGTTAATTTGTATATCCGCACATTCTAGGATGACTGATTTGTCTCATTCACTTTTTGAAGTACACATAACTCTCGGACTTAAGTTCGAGCCTTCCATATTTATTATTAGTAAATCTCAATGAACATTATTACTGATTATAATATAAGACTTATCAGTCACTGCTTGTACACAATCGAGTTACTTCAAGTTTAATGAAAATCAAGGTCAAATAACAACAGTTTAGCGTACTTCATTGCATAAAAGAAGATAGTTAAAAATTATTAGAGGCTAATTTTAATGGTGAACGCAAACCTAAGAAATATTATTGATTATAAAATTTAAAAATAATTAAAAAATATGGGAAAAGCTAATGATTTCTTATCTTATTTGTAGATTAGTGTAGTTTTTGGCTTCTAGTAAAATGTCTTGAGAGATAATCTGATGATTGAACTGAGTCAAATGTATCAGAATGTTTGAAACTTGCAATGCATTTACCATGTGCATTTGCTCATCTGTTTTGTTTTGCATAGATGAAGTTTGCTTTTGTCTATTGGTTATCATAACTATGTTGAACATGACTGTTTTTTCGTAATTTAAAATTTTGAAGACTACATGATAGAAGAATGCCAAGCATTTTCAAGTCAGTGTATTTTCTTCAGTCTCATCTTGCAACAAATCGTATGTCATACCGACGATTTTCATGTTACGTTGCCGAGAAAATGCCTTCAAGATTGAATAATCATGATAAACCCAAGTAATTTCATTGTAAAGCAATTGCTTCAGGAAACTTCGATTGAATTGAGAAGAACGGTGTCATATTTTGTGTTGTGGAAAAAGTTTGGCAACATAAAACATCTAAAAATTTCTCGAAAATTGTTCACCTACTTGACCGTTCAATTATTTAATCATGAAAAAACAGCAAATGCTGGATACTGATTGTCATTTTACTTCGGATAGTCGTCATCAACAAGGTTTTGCTTAATTTTCAATACCGATAAAGAATAAAAAATATGATTAAATCGCCTTTATCAATAAAGATTCACGTTCACAAACATTTAAAATAAGAATGGATGGTGAAGGAAAATCATTCATATAAGAAACATCCTTCGTGGCTGAATAACTACGATTATTGAAGAAGGTCATTAAAGAAGATTCATCAAAACAACAATTCAATTCAATTTTTAATATAATGATTTCAACAAACCAGTAGTGTAGAAGCTGCAAAGTCAATTCAACTTTTAAACTTTCAACTATTCAACTATCAAAAGCAGCACTCACATGCCCCCCCCCCCCCCAATCGCACCAACATAGTGCCCTCTCTGTACGCCAATACATCGCTCCCACCCCAACAGCTGGTATCCCACATCATGCTGCTCCCCTCCTACACCAAAATACCTTCTTCACCGGCACCCCACACCCTCAGTTGAATAGTTGAAGAACAAGGTGAATAGCCGTAAGCAGTCTTCGACTTCTACATGTATGAACAAGACTTTGATTTTAGCAAGAAAATACTAACATTGCTTATAGAATTTAATTCAAAACGATCGCAAAAAGAAATCAACAATACTAAATAAATAATTAGTAACAGGTTTCTCTTCCTTGTTTTAATCTTAATATATAGTAACCTTTCGACGTTGAAGAACGTCTTCTTCAAAAAATAGTTAAAGTAAAAATATTATGTTTATCTAGTTTTTCCATATGTAAATGATATGATCTTTTTCATATCGACGAAGGAACGAAAAAGAGAATACGAAAAGAAAAGAAAAGAAAAAGATAGTGGATCGGAAGACAAAGATTCTGGAAGGAATGAAGATTTGTTATTCTCCATCTATATTCATTTGTTGTTGTCGTTTGATTTTCTCCTTGATTCTAGCTTTTGATGTATGTATAATTGGATACCAAATTTCGTTTAGGTGTTCATGTCTATTGATTGCTTGATTTACAGTAGAATATATCGCTTCTTTAATTTTTCGTTTTTTCTTATTCGTTTCATTATCAATCACCCATGAGTTTTCTAGATCAAGTTGACATTCAGGATTATGTTTATTTTTTTCACAACGTTGAACCATTTCTGAGTTTTTGTTTTTTTCTTTTATCATTTTTTGATGTTGTTTAATACAATTTTTCAATCCGATTTTAGTTTCACCGTTGAAGATACTTCCGCATTTACATTCAATTTGATAAATGTTTGATTTTGTTTTATGTTGGATAATTGAATTAAGCATTGGTTGTATTTTGTTTGGATATGAAAAGTATAGGATTGTGTTGTATTTTTGTAATTTACGTTTCAAGACTTCCATACCTGGATAGTGTGGTAATTATATCATACATTTGATATTATTGTCTTTAATTTTTGTTTTCTCAGTTGTATTCATATTTTTAGGTTTTTCTTTTTTCATTGCTTGTTGTATCAGGTTTTCAATGTTGGATTCAGGATAGTTGAATTTTATTAGTAGTTTTTTAAGTGTGTTTAAATCCTCGTGTTGTTCTTTACCATCCTCTGTTGTTTCTATTATACGTTGTGTCAAGTTTTTTACGATGTTCGTTTTTATTGATTTGTGGTGACACGAATTGAAATTTAATAGGCGATCTGCTGCCATGCTTTTTCTGAACCACCGTATATGTATCGGGCTTTGTTTTGATTGATTTTTGTTAGAGTTGTATCCAGAAAATTTATTTGGTTATTTCTTTGGTATTCCATGGTAAAACGTATGTTACTTCGTGTTTGATTTAGTTTTTGGACATGATCTTTTAATTCATCTTCTGTCATTTTTGTAATTATGAGAATGTCATCGGCATATCTCCATATCTTCTTAGTTTTGTTTATATCAGTTTTCATTTTTCTTAATGTAATTATCCATGTATAAATCTGCTAGTAATGGTGATATATTGTTACCCATTGGCAAACTTTTTGTTTGTCGATAAAACGTTCCATCGAACTCTACAAATCCATTGTTCAGAATTAATAGTAACATTTGTTTGATGTCGGGTTTGGTTAATGATGATTGGCAAAAACGTTTGGAATTGCCTAGTTCATTTATGGCAATATCGATTGACCTTGTGATTGGAACGTTCGTGTAAAGATCTACCACGTCCATGCTAGCTAAATATTGATCTTGTTCAACTGTTGTTGAGTTTAGTTTTTTTACGAGATCATGTGTATTAATGATGATGTTATCTATTCTTTCCCGTAATTGTTTAATATATGAATATACGAATTTTGATAAAGGTGTTAAGAGAGAATTGCTCCTTCAAGTTATTATTCCCATTGGATTATTGTCTTTTGTAGTTTTGGTAAATCATCAATAGATGTAAGGTAACTTTTCGTACGTTTATCGATTTTTCTTCTTAGCCATAATTTGTGTACTAATTCACTTAATTTCTTTTTAATCGTTTTTGTTGGATCTTTAACTTATTCATATGTTTTCCTTTCGTTCATTTTTGTGTACTCAAAAAGTGAGTACACTCTCGAATCGGTCAGTATGTCCGACCGTCCGGCCCGCTGGCCGTTTACACGATAACTTTTGAAAGAAGAGTTCGATTGCGATGAAATTTTCTACACAGTTTAGTTTCAACAATATCTCGGTCGAGTTCGAAGATGAAAAGGATTGGCCAAGCCGTTCCTGAGTTATTGCAAAAATAGTCATTATTCCCTATGCCTTCCTATACGAAAATCGACCTATCCCCGCTTTCGTAAAAAACTTTTCCTATTATAGTCAAATAAAACCCCAACTATTATACACCATTCGATAGAGAATTTCACGAGCTACAAAATGGTATATAAAACATAAAGAAATAAGAAGACTAACTCATCTATTGCAAAGGTAATTAAACGGATTTCGGTTCTGTTTTTGTTCACGCTCTGATTAATCCACAATTAGAGCTCTATCTTCCGATCACATAGATGGTACTTCGAGGTTTTCTGGGGCGAAGAACTCGAATCTGTACTCCATTTGCCTCGAACTACCATTGTTTGAGCAGAGATCAATAGAAATCAAGTTATAGGATAAACGACTTTCTTAGAGTAAATCAAGGCGAAGAATTCAAATCTGAGCTGTATTCGCCCCTAAATCCTATTGGTTGAGCAGTAGCCAATAGAATTCAAGTGTTTACAGAAAATATTTGCCAGGATAATTTTGATGCCCAAACGTTCTAGGATGACTCATCTGTCTAATTCACTTTTTGAAGTACACATAACTCTCGGATTTAAATCCGAGGTTTCCACATTTATTTTAATTGTGATTGGTGTTGGTGACAGTGCTGACTCTGTATTAGTGATGAGTAGAATAACATTGATTTGTTGTGGTGTAGGTATAAATTTTAATCCTTTTGACAATAAGAATTTTTGATCTTGTGTTAAATTATAATTCGATACGTTGATCACGTCTGATGTGTCTAATGTTTTGTTGATATGACAATTTCCTTCACTATTTGGTTGATTGTGTTTATTTTTGCCAATTAATGATTTTTCTAATTTTTTGTCGTGTATATTTTGATATGTTATTTGTTTCTTATTGTTTTTATTCATCCATTCCAAGTTATTGTTATTGGAATGATTTTGTTGACGATTTTTCATATATATTTGTAAAATGTTATGTTGAGTGGCAATTTCTATATTATAAGGTATGTGAAAAAAGTTCGCTTCATTTTTTCTATCGATGTATTTTTGCAATTGTTTGAGCAATTTCGATCAATAAATAGTCATTTTAAAGAGCATGTAAAAGTGTACTTTTGGTGTGAAAATCAAGACTCTAGCTCAAGTAATAAGCAAGGAACGATGAAGAAAGTTTGTTATATGTTTTTGGCTGTTAGAAAACAGTTCCATAATGTAAATAACCAGAATATGAAGCAAATTATTTTCATCTTGTATATATTTATTTTTGTTTCTTTTGACAACAAAAACTAACTGTAGAAAGGATAAATGTACAATAAAAAAATCATATATTTATTCTACGCATAAACGACATGTACAATACTGTTTAAATCTAGTAACTCTACCTCCTTTTTCGTTTACAATTTCTTTCATTCTTAATGGCATTTGATGTACAGTCTTTCTTAAAATTTTTGAATCTAATGATTTCCATGTTTTCATAATTCGTCGTTTTAATTCGAGTAAAGATTTTGGCTGGTCTTGTCCTTCTCCATAAACTTTATTCGTTATAACCGCCCATATACGTTCAATACACCATAGATCATCCATTTTTGCAGGAGTTTCATGTTTATCAAAAAAATTAGGAACATTTTCAATCAAATATTCTTGAGCAACATCAGCATCATGACATTTCGCATGATCTTGTTCGAATATCCAATCTTCATTATCATCAAATAATACTGTTGTTGTAATATCATCAGTTTCTTCAATTCTTTCTTGAACATCAGTTAAAGTTGGTAATACCTCATTTACATAGCGTTCACCATCAATATTACCATTAATGAACACCAATTGTGTTAAACCTTTACTTGTCATACCGCCATAAACGTGTAAACCTTTTGAATGATTTTCCACTTCCCATAAATCTAATTCTTCACTATCATATACCCATCGTCCCTTATGTTTTGGATTACGACCACCGTCCAACAAAAAAACTTTTGGATCAGTAATTAAAAGCTTATCCCACCATAACAAATCTTGATCTTTATATGTTTTACAAAAGTTTAATCTTGCCTTTTTATGATAATCAGTTCATTTTGTTGCTCTTGGTCTTACTTTCCATTTTAATTCAGCATCATGTAATATGTGTTGCACTGTTTTATAACTTATATTCAATTGCAGACCTGCTTTTCTTAAACTAAACTTTTTGTTGTCTTTTTCACAATACCGCCTTTTCAATTTTTCTTGGAACTTCAGGCCTACCTGTTCGAATACCATCAAGAAATGCTTTGGGATCATCAAAGCCAACATTTTTCCATTTTGTAATAAGAGTATCTATGCATGTCAATCGTTTTTTAATTTGTTTTCGTTGAATTCCATCTTGTTCCATTTGATTAATGCGCACACGAATGATCAAATTTTTCAGTTGTTTATGTGTAAGACTTATTTTCTCATCCTTAGCTGGTGGTGAAGAGCCATTTTAGTTGAAACGTAATCTTTCTCTCCTTGCTTTACTCATCTTTTAATTTTCGTCTGCACAGAATATAGAGAAATAAATCATTTTCATCTAACTTCTTCAGCCTATTGACTTTGTGACCGTTCATTGTCTATCTCTCTTATGGAAATGTATATTGTTTATGTGAACCAGACGATCTATTGTGTGAAGTTATATAAAGCGAGCATAACTGTCACTATTGCACGGATATTTTTCTTATGAACTTCGTCACAGAAAAAGAAGATGTTCTGTTTTCATTTGTAGTTTTGTAATTTTAAATGTATAAAAAAATCATCTCCAAAAAACATGAATGATATTCTCGCATCTATATCCATTTTACCACCTGGGTTAGAACCGTTATTTTTTCACCAAAAGTACACTTTTACATGCTCTTTAAAATGACTATGTATTGATCGAAATTGCTCAAACAGTTGCAAAAATACATTGATAGAAAAAATGAAGCGAACTTTTTTCACATACCTTAGTTATATAAACATGAGAGATCTAATAATTAAAATTTCAAAATCGACTAGTAGTTCTTTTTTTTTAAGTTTCAATGAACTATGAATTGATCGTATATAACGTAACACAATTATACAAAGAAAACGCATAGTTACTTAGATCAATTCTCCAATAAGGATTACGAGTAATTATTCGCGTTATTATTTAATTTATACAGCAAATAAACTATTTAAAATGTATGAAAAGTGTAAATACAATGTGCATTGAGCGAAAAAGCAACACTTTGGATGCAGAACACAAGATTTTCTTTCATACTGTACTAAGAATGTTCATGTTAAATAGTTTATTTGCTGTATAAATTAAATAATAACGCGAATAATTATTCGTAATACCTATTGGAGAACTGATCTAAGTAACTACGCGTTTTCTTTATATAATTGTGTTACGTTATATACGATCAATTCATAGTTCATTGAAACTTAAAAAAAAAAGAACTACTAGTCGATTTTGAGATTTTAGTTATTAGATCTCTCATGTTTATATAACTATTATTAAAAGAGATAATGTCATCGGATAATATGCCATTTAAACATTGTCTAAAGTATTCGAAACTCATATAAATATAGTTGTATTCTTATGATATTAGTTAAAGTGTGATGAAATATGTCTGTGGGTGTAGTAATTCACTTCAATAACTCCTACCAACAGAGCACCCACATCCACATCCACATCCACACCCTTGATCACTATTAATTCATCTGTATTAACAATATTTGTATTTGCAGCAGTAATACTGTTAATATCACATGTTTCATGTGAAGATATTGATTTTGTTTTGAAGTAATAAAGAAGTTTATTTTTATCAGATATTTTGATTTTATATGTTAAAAAGTAAATTACAAATTTGATTAAAAGAAAAACAACAAAATTCGAATAGAAAATCCACTTTTATTGAAAACAAGTGACACAGAAGATTAATCATTATATTGCATCAATTATATATGAGTAACTCTACTTCAATTCTTTTAATGAGAGTAGATGTCGAATATGTATAGCAGGAAATGCATTCATCAAGAGAGCAATAAACAAATTCAAGAGAAAATGGATCAATCCTCCTAAATTACCTATCAAATCGTAAACAATATATGTATGTAGAAAGTTTTTTAGGAGAAACAATTGCTAACCCATTGCTTACTGGTGCACGCCCATGCGCAGACGTAACTGTGGATGGGAATAGCAAGAAGACTATCATTCACATCTACACCCTTGTTATGCCATGTATTCGTCAAATGCCATCAATCAATTTCAATTGTTGAGGAGAACAAAAAGTTGATGTTTACTCTGAAATATTTCTTATTGTGGGTGAATCCATATGCCTTCTACCACTTTATACAAAACCCGTTACGCAAGCAATGCGACACACCTAGCCAGATGTAGTTTGGGGCGCTGATTCCAATGGTGAAAACCGCAGGTCTCTATCTTTTTCGAAAAAAAAATTATTCGCAAAATACTCTCCCAGCAAAAACTAGGTTTTTCCTTCATTTCCCAGCGGAAATTACGTTTTTGAAAAGCCTCCTCTGGGTAGAGGCTGCGTCGTAGAACCTTCATTTTAGTTTCAAATGAAAGAGCATAGCGGGTTCTATACCTTTCACTAGAAAAATGCCATGCCGGTTCACATTATCTAGGTGAAAAGCTTCTGGAGAACCAGAAGGTTTTCAAGATATTTTCTCTTATAAGCACGTACCGAAAGTGATGAAAATCACTTCCGATACGTTATTTGGAGCGCGCTATTCATATCTGCTACTTAGACACTTCAGCGAGAATATTCTCCTGGGGTTTCTAGAAAAGTCACCAGGTTTT